ATGTAAAGAGCAATGAACTGAAAATTCCATATGTCATTGTCACAATGTGAGTAGAACAGCAGGTTTCCTAGTACACCTTGTATGTATGCTTAACGAGCTGCAGGCAGAAGAGGACCTGTCTATATCTGGCTGCCCTGGAGCACATTCATGTCAATGCTTTGACTGCTGCTGGCAAGACTCACGCCTCATTGCACCAGACCGTCCCCGTCCCAATGCTTTGAAATGCTCCAGAAAGCTCTTGGCTGCATTTACCATTTGCCCCACCACAGTCATGCAAGTTAGCTTAGTCACTGACCTCCTCCCAGCCAGTGTGAGGCAGAAACGTTCCTCAACAAATTTCCCCTCATGGAACCTTTTAAAAGTGTGCGAAATCTCGAGGGACTTCGGTCTAACATGTAAAAAACAATGTGTGGCCCCTCCAAAATCCATACCAGACCTTTATCTGAGATACAGCCGTGAGAAAAAGAAAGTACACCCTCTTTGAATTCTATGACTTTACGTATCAGGACTTAATAAACTTCAATTGGTCCTCAGCCGGTCTTAGAATTAGTTAAATACAACCTCAGATGAAGAACAACACGTGACATGTTACACCGTTGTGTCATTATTTATTTTACATAAGCCATGTGTGAAAAACTAAGTACACCTTATGATTCAATAGCTTGTAGAGCCGCCTTTAGCAGCTATAACTTAAAATAATCGTTTTCTGTATGACTTTATCCGTCTCCGACACCGTTGTGGAGGAATTTTGGCCCACTCTGCTTTACAATGTTGCTTCAGTGTAAGATTTCCCCGGAAGTACTTTTCTTCTGCTTAATCTGATGGCAAGCATCATTCAACCCACTTCCTTTGAGCCCAGGTCATCCTATGCCCGCCCTCAGCCTGTGACTGTCACTTTGCTCTCTCCTCCAGCTCTCATAAAGGCAGCAGCCAGAAGTACAGCGCTGGCTGTAGTACCTGGCATGTACAAATGTATGACTGGTATAGTACACAGAAGAGATCTGCACATATAACATACATGACCAGAGGTAACTTTTATTTTCACTATTAAGAATATATAACAGTGTTCTACTTTAAAGGGAACCTGTCACAGGGGAAAATGCTATTTCAGAGGTGGGAAACCTTCAGCACTCCAGCTGCAGTGCACCTACAAATCCCATCAATGCCTAGGGAGTCATGCCTGTGGCTGTCAGAGTCTTGCAATGCCTTATGGGGCTTGTAGTTCCACAGCAGTTAAGAGTGCCGATGTTTTCTACCCCTGTGCTATGTGCATGGCTATCATGCTGACTTGTTTGCTTCAATACTTAGATTTGCTGAGCTGGAACAAGTATGCAGATAAGGACCTCTGACTTTTCTCTGACTTTCCTAGTCTGCGTACTCATTCTGGGTCAGTAGCTTCGAAAATACCAAATCAAGAGAGTCAGCAAAACAGACCAACAACTAATAAGGACCTCAGTAATGGCGGCCCCTTAATTGAATGAATTTAACATAGGGATAAATGTACAAAATGAAATACCCTATGTCAGCCAATGAGAGCCCGTCTCCCAAGGCATGACTGTGAATACAGTAAACTGCAATCTGATTGGCTCTAAACTGCAAACATGACAACAGCTCTTTGCAGCACCTTACTAAGCGCATAAAAATCTCTGAAAAGGCCATTTCATGTAGCATGCCATCAGTGCAATATGAGCGCCCTCTGCTGGTTATCATACATCATTGTTCAATCCAGGAAGAAAAGCTGCATGATCAATCCAGTTTAGGAGCAAGCGTTTTAATAGAGCAGGGGTAGGGAACCTTGAATCTCACGCTGTTGTGGAACTACAAGTCCCATGAGGCATTGCAAGACTCTGACAGCCACAAACATGATTCCCAGAGGCAGAGGCATGATGGGATCTGTATTCTCTTCACAGCTGGAGTGCCGAGGGTGCCTACCCCTGACATAGATCATTCACATCAGCCCCCCAGGTAACGTACAATAAATGCTGTTTAACAACAATATACACAAAAGTGTTCTAAGAAAATTATTTTTATATTAAAATCAATTTTTACATTTTAATATTAGAAATGATAACACCCCCTGTCTCCCCTCCATATGTAATGATGACAGCCCCCTCCTGAATGCCCTCCATATATAATGATGACACTCCCCCTCCACACACAGGGTGACGATGCCGCTCAGGTGACAGGCGCTTTATCCCAGCGATCAGTTTCCGCCCCCCAGCATGCACCGCTCCACCAACATGGCGGCGCCCAGTGAGCGGCAGCGTGCCGGTCCCATGGCCGGTTTCCCGTTGCCTATGCTGGGGGTGAAGCCGGAGGAGGGCGTCCAGGGCGCAGAGGGGAAAGGGAAGAAGCCGTGCCGGGCGTGTGTGGACTTCCGGAGCTGGATAAAGCAGCAAAGGAAGCAGAGCGCGGCCTCCCAGGTGAGGAAGACAAGGTCCGGGGAGGACATGACACTTCACCGATATGTGCGGTGCCGGTGACCTTTCTCTTCACCCTCTCAGAGGAGTCCCCTGGAAGGAAATTCCTCTTTACTGTGTTTGTAGATCACACTGTACAGAGGGCCGTCTCCCCTGGTGATCCTGCAGGCGGAGGGCCGTCTTCCCCTGGTGAACCTGCAGCCAGAGGGCCGTCTTCCCCTGGTGACCCTGCAGGCGGAGGGCCGTCTTCCCCTGGTGACCCTGCAGGCGGAGAGACATTTACCCATATATACTCTTGAGTGTGCAGATTATTATGACCACCCCATCAGGGCCACGTGATGACTTCGTTGGGCGGCCTCGTGACTCCACAAGATGATGAAAGGTGATGCGAGGAATCTGACACTGCACTGTTGCCCTTCTGTTGTCTTGTACCAGTCTTGCCACTCTCCGTTCTGCCCTAACATTGACTAGTCGCTGACGGCCAAAGGTGAACGCGTCCATACACTTACCTCACGTCTCTGCTCGTCTCCCGGCGAGAATGCTAACTGCGCATGCGCCCGCCCCAAGATACTTTGCGGCCGCCCGAACAGTTTCGTTTTCTCCGGCGGGAGCGCGCAAAGAAAAAAAGGTACGTTTTAGCGGGGGGTTTTTTTTTTTTTTAAACTGTTTGCCTATATCTACTGCCTCATAGCAGTAGATATAGGCAAAAAACAGGAGGGTTTAGAACCCCTTAGTGTATATATATAAGTAAGTATGCTTCTCATGTGCAGAAAATGTTTCTATTTCAGGACGTTGACATTGAGGAGAAGGAACGACCCCCAGAGTGTCCATTAGACCGGGAGGAGCTCGGCCGTAGTACCTGGTCTTTCTTGCATACAATGGCAGCCTATTACCCGGATAGGCCCAGCACTAATCAGCAACAAGAAATGAAAAGCTTCATCAACATATTTTCCAAATTCTATCCCTGCGAGGAATGTGCGGAGGACCTGAGAGGGAGGTTTGTTGTTTTATCTTATTTCATGGATCAGTTTCATGGCATACAAATGAGAATTTACCTTTCTGGTGGAAATAATGAAATGCTGAATACACAGATGGAATACACATGAGGGCTCATTCACCCTAGGGGCATTGAATACACACATGGAACATGCATAGCGGGCTCATTCACCCGAGGGGCATTGAATACACACATGGAGCATGCATAGAGGGCTCATTCACGCGAGGGGCATTGAATACACACATGGAGCATGCATAGAGGGCTCATTCACGCGAGGGGCATTGAATACACACATGGAGCATGCATAGAGGGCTCATTCACGCGAGGGGCATTGAATAACATTCACACCAGGGGCATTGAGCTGCGATGATCATCATTGATCCGCTCGGGTACATGGATAACACTTGTTCTCGTTCCCACATGTTAAAGTTTTATGGATTGTATTTGTTCACTTTGAATAAAATGGAAAAACAACAAAAAAGTAAAGTGTTATGCATTGTGATAAAGCAGCGCACCACCCCTACATAACGCACATCAGCATGTGCACACTAACTGTCAATATCCAGGTGACCTCTGAAACTCAGGACTGGATGAAACAGGAACACAAATCCTACAGCTGGTAAAAGAACTCCCTTACGGGCCCTATGCACATTATTCTCTGTATGGCACACACAGGCCGGAATGAACGGGCTTTGCAGATGCAAAGCACAGGTCCACTTCAAAGGAAACCTGTGCTGATAGAAACCTGGAGGCTGCTGTTGCTGATCTCGTAAAAATGCTAGTTGCCTGGCTGGAATGCGTATACTCTGACGTCGGTATCTTATAAACCACTGACCTGCACCAAGCCTGCAGCAATTAAAGACAAGACTCTGATCTGCATGCTTTATGTGGTCAGTGGGAAAACAAAAAGTAGAGAGAAGCGCCACGACCTAGTGCAATGGCTCGGGTGGGATATGGGCAGGGGCATGACGTAACAAACTCACCTGTTGGTGGGTGAGCACTCGCTTCAACACGGGGACAAAGAGGAAAACGTGGTGTTGCCGTATTCTTAAGCTCCAAAAGGAAGAATATGGCCCCGTCGCCCAACATCACACCACGTTTTCCTCTTTGTCCCCGTGTTGAAGCGAGTGCTCACCCACCAACAGGTGAGTTTGATATGTCATGCCCCTGGCCATATCCCACCCGAGTCATTGCACTAGATCGTGGCGCTTCTTTCTCTACATTTTGTTTTCCCAGTACATAAGTATTGGTACTCGGTATCTAAGAGTACCGAAAAAGAAATATCAGTATTTGATACCGGAAAAACGGTATTGGTGCATCCCTAGTTTAAATGCAAACCGTGTAAGTACCTGAGTTTGACTTGGTGTCAGTCTCCTTGCAGGGCAAGTGCAGAAAAGCTTAGACTGGGAATGGGAGATGTAGCACAAGGACCCAGTCAGTTTTTCTGCACTGCAAGCATGCTAATCGGAGGTGACAGAGAGATGAACTCATCAGGGTGCTGCTTCTCATTTCATGGTCCAATCATGAGGGGCGGGATGAGACCTGCAAGAGAAAGATCAGGTCTCTTTAACTGCTAGACAGGGCTGTGCTGTGTGGCAGAGCTGTGTAAATCTCTGACATGGGTGGCATGTAAGGCACCTCTGGTATTTGTATTTCAAGTGTGTATTTAGTTTTTTTGCTTCAACTTGAACTTTAGTGAGAAAAATAATGATCGGTTTGAATTTTTTATTTCCAGGCTAACTTCCACTCAGCCTGACACAAGCAGCAGGCATAACCTATCCCAGTGGATGTGTGTGCTTCATAATGACGTCAACAGAAAGCTGGGCAAGGAAGAATTCGACTGTTCCAAGGTGGATGAGAGGTGGCGAGACGGCTGGAAAGATGGATCCTGTGATTGATTGGAAATGCTTTGTCCGGATCCTGCCATTGATTGGACGTTCCTTGTCTGGATCCTGTGATTTGGTTGGACGTTCCTTGTCTGGATCCTGTGATCGGTTGGACGTTCCTTGTCTGGATCCTGTGATTGGCTGGACGTTCCTTGTCTGGATCCTGTGATTGGCTGGTCGTTCCTTGTCTGGATCCTGTGATTGGCTGGACGTTCCTTGTCTGGATCCTGCGATCGATTGGACGTTCCTTGTCTGGATCTATAGAACAGCTAATACCTGTTCTACAGATTACCAGTTTCTAGCCATAACTTATGTTGGCTTTAGTTCCTCAGTTGTGACCTTTCTGCTTTTGGAGAATGTATCTTCCTCTATGCAGCCTTTCCGAACAGCTCATTGCTTAGTTTGACGCTCTTTAACTTTGTCTTTAAACATGAGAGCAGTAAGCTTGATTTGTAGGTGTTAATTATGTTACAGTGCTGGTAACATTCATTCTTTTATGGGGGCCTGTTCTGTAAGAGAAAAGACAAAAGCCGTAGAAAGATTTTAACCCCTTCATGACTGAGGCCTTTTTTTCACTTTTTTGCACCCATGTTATATTCCACATTTTAGGCCTGAAAATGACTTAAAACCCCCACACATGATATATTTTCTGAATGTCAAGACCCTATAGAATAAAATTGTGGTAGTTGCAAACTTTTATGTTGCGCAATATTAGCGCAACTCCTTATTAAACCCCAACATTTAGTGAAACATTTAATTAAATGCCCCAAAACACAACAAAATACCAATTTTTTTAAATGAAATATAAAAGATGAGGTTACAACGAGTAAAACGATACCCAACATGCATAGGTTACAAATTGCGTGCGTACGTGAAACGGCGAAAAACTGCAGTACCCCAAAAAGTCAATAGAAGACGCTTTAAAAGCCCCCACAGGTCATCAATTTAGAGATACCCCAAAATACTGGCCCTAGAATTATTGCTCTCACTCCAGCGTGCTCGCGGGGGACTTTTACAAATTTTTAAAATTATTAGATTTATTTTAAACTTTTTTTTTTTTTTTTTTTTTTTTTTTTTTTTTAGTACACTGTACGTCGTCAGTCACGAAGGTGTTAAACAAGTTGTATTGCGTCAGCATCCAGCGTATCCATTGGTGTCCGGGGGCCTTCTTTCTCTTTACATCAATGGTGGCTGAGCTTTGCTTGTCTTCTATGTGCATATTATTATTATTGCCCATATTATGACGGCAGTTAGGCCTCATTCACACTGCTAAGAGCCGGCCTGTACAGATCCGTGCGGGTCATGCATGTCCATAACGGGCCGCTTCCGGGAAGGATAGGTACTGCCTGTGATTGTACACAGCAGCCTGTTCTTCTGTATGGGAGCATGCCACCGTACGCCGCCCTACGATCACCCGAACTGCACGTCTGTGCGGGTGTCCATGCTCGGACGCAGACAGGATCCATCTTGACTGCGTACGAGTACGGACACCCGCACGGACGTGCAGTTCGGGTGAGCGGACGGTCACGTACTCCCATAGGGAAGAGCAGGCTGCTGCGTACGATCACACACAGCACCGGTCCTTCCCGGGAACGGGCCGATACGGCCGCGCACGCCGCACGGATCTGTACGGGCCGGCTCTTAGCAGCATGAATGAGGCTTAGGCGTCCCCATGTCTTTATTTGCATCCATTAGTCCATAGGTGCTGCCGTCTTCTTCCTGTTTACTTCAATGGTGGCTGAGCTTTGCTTGTCTTCTATGTGCATATTATTATGACAGCAGTAAGCTTCACCAGTTCTTCATTTGCATCCATTAGTCCATAGGTGCTGCCGTCTTCTTCCTGTTTACTTCAATGGTGGCTGAGCTTTGCTTGTCTTCTATGTGCATATTATTATGACAGCAGTAAGCTTCACCAGTTCTTCATTTGCATCCATTAGTCCATAGGTGCTGGGGTCTTCTTCCTTTTTCCATCAATGATGGATATGCTTCACTTGTCTTCTATGTACATACTATTGTCATACTCTGGGCATTAATGATAAACATCACCAGGTCATGTGCATCCATTGGTCCTTAGGTGCTGGGAGTGTTTTTCCTCTTAATATCAATTACTGATATGCTTCACTTGTCTTATGTGCATATTATTATTGGCCATATTATGACCGCAGGAAGCGCCATCACTTCCTATGCATCCATTGGTCCATAGGTGTCAGGTCTTCCTCTTTTTACATCACTGGCAGTCGTCTTCTATGTGCAGGGTGTTACAATTCCATCTGAATCCTCTCCATCATCAGTTGTACATTCCTTGCTGCGTGCTGTTTGATCTGTAGCAGTAATTCAGACATAAAGATGTTTGTGCACATGAGAAGCCACCAGAGCTTCTGTTTCCATGTTAGTAGCTATAGAAGAAAACCTGCAAGGTCAGGGCACAAGAGCTGGGGGGATATCCTGGCCATAGGAATTCAGAGGCTTCACATGAGCTGCTGGCTGGACCAGGGCAGACTCTGATGGCACATGTGCCATGATGTGTGTATCAGTTTACAAAACTGCTGTTATTCCAATTGGGTAAGAATGAGGTTCATTGTTACTTGTCAGTGTCCAGAGGAATATCTAACTTTGTAAATAATATTTATTGTCTTGGTTTTTTTTATGGCTGAACAGGATTTCAATTTGTGTCCAGTGATTGGTGTTTTAACTAAAGTGCCCCCAAGGGAATTTCCAAACTTATATTGGGTGCAATAGATGCATCAAGAGCCCGTAAAGAGCAAAAGAAATGAATATATATGGCCATTCGGTGCCAAGTAACATGTACCTTTTGATAGCTGGCCCCATGCTGCTGATCTCTTACTTGTACTTCTCCAAATCCCAATGAATTACCCAAGTTGGGGGAGTGTTTGACTCTTTCCCCTTGCTCATGTTGCAGCGCTGGGTGCCTGAGCGGCCAGTCACCAGGCTCAAACCTTATGAACCTGTGCAAACTCCTAACTCAGAGTTGACCTGGAATTTACAAAAGGGTCACAGCGGGGGCTCCGGCATTTTGAAGACCTTATCTAAGCGCTATATCCGAAATGCCTACAAACATTTTAAGGTCTGGTTACAAATTCTGACTTGGAACATGCATGCATATTGGGTACACAGCCCTGTCTAGATCAGTGACGCACTAGTGAAGTAATGAGGGCATTGGAGCGCGCACCTTCAAAAACAGGTCAGCAGTGGTGGTTCTAATACTTCTAATCCAGGGATGTCCAAACTCCGGCCCTCCAGCTGTGGTAAAACTACAAATCTCATGAAGCATCTCTCTCTAGGAGTCATGTCTGTGGCTGAGAATCTTTTAAAGCCTCATGTGATTCGTAGTTGCACCACAGCTGGAGGGCTGCAGTTTGGACATCCCTGTTCTAATCAGACGGGTCACCTTTTATAAAAACGTATTTCACAAAGAGAGAATATATGCTGCCCTCCTGTGTCTGAACTGTAGACAGGTTTGGATTTATGTTCATGTGCCTGGCCGATCCTCCTCATCCTATAGCTTTATGGGCATTGCTATGTGTAGGCTGAGCTGCAGATGATTGAAGGAAATGGATGGGCACAAACATATTCCAAGGCGTCTGATAGTGGGCTGCAGTTGGCTGCTCTTCCAGTGCAGGAAAAAGAGGAACGCCTAATTCCGAAGGGGCGTGCATGCCCATAAACGGGCCGATCCCGGGAGGGACAGGTGCTCTGTGTGAGTGCACGCACCAGCCTGTTCTTCCATGGGAGGATGCGGCTGTCGTCTGCACATCCGTGCGGGTCTGGGTGTCTGCGTCCCAAGTGTGGACACCCAGACCCGCACGGATGTGCAGGTTGGGGCGTGTGGATGACTGCGTACTACTGCGTCCTCCCATAGGGTAGGACAGACTGCTGTGCGCATTTACACACAGTACCTGTCCCTCCCGGGATCGTCCCGTTTCTGGGTGTGCATGCTGCACGGATGTGTACGCCCCGTCTGAATGAGGACTTATGGTCCAGCAAGGAAGTCGGAGTCAGTGTCCTGAGCTGTTAAAGCTTTCACATTACAGTATTCCCTGGTTTGGGGTTCCCATCCCACTCTTGTAGGCCTTTTTTTGAAGGTCGGTGAATACAACTCCAATACTAGAGCTTAAAGTAGAACTGAAGTCAAAACTTTTGTTTAATTTTGGGTAGAGTAAGCGAGAGTTCTAACCCCTTTCAGCTTTTTTTTGTCCCATTGGGGAGATTGCCCTTTTACTTCCTGCCCAATAGCCACAGCAGGAAGTGGGATAAGTCCCTGGTATTGTGCAGATTCACCAGAACTAGTGTTCCCATTGGAAGATTTCCCATCAGTTCCTGTTCTGATGACAACCCAAAATGTGGGATTTTCTTTCACTGATAATGGTCAAATAGAGAGGGTGAAGCTCCCTCCGGGGGACACAGACAGCAATAATAACCTGTGAGGGGTTCTAATCCCTCTCCAATCTATTCAACACTAAAACAGAAAAAGTTTTGGCTTCAGTTGCACTTTAAAAGGGCAGCTCTGTCCACACTATGGACAATTTTACATCAAGCCGACCCTGAGCTCTCTAGATGTATGTAATATGAAGTAATTCATTCCTAAAAATCACAATGAAGATTTCAAGGTCAGTCTGCTGCTAACAACTTAGAAATATATGCTATGTGTTTACCATGGGGAACTCCAGAATGATTGGGAATCCGTGATCCAGAGGGTAGGTCTTCAGAGGCTGCTCTCCATTGAGAGGGGTATCACAAAAGGTCCCCAGAAATAGTACATAGAGTACACAGAGGAGGAGAGAACTACAACCGTTGGATCAGTCCAATAACATAATTGACATTCCACTATGTGCTTTCTATCCACATCCCCAGTGCAGTACAAACCTGAATCCACTAGCAGTATATAAGCCCCGATGAAGGGGGAGTTTTGAGCCCCCAAAACGTGTTTGACTTTTCACCTCTGCATAATATCAAATAAACCTTTTTCCTGGACTGACTCAACTATTGTGGCGCTTTAATCCTTCCAATACTCTGTGTACATTA